ATTAGAAAAAAGGAAAGTATTAGATTTATTTTTTCTTTTATTTTACATTGGTTATAAAATTAACTTTTAAGTCATTTAAAAAATGTACTGTCTTAAATTCTTTGTTTTAGCAACTCTGTAACTTTTCTGTTATTTTGTATTGGGAGACACAGAACTGACATAGAAGGGTTCTACAACTTTAAGGATCATTTCAGTTTTCATGATACATCAGTTAGAATGCTTTTGGCTGCAGATAACAGAAATTCCCGAGTCAACTGGCTTAATAAGGAGTGAATTATTACATATGACAAAAAGTCCAGGAGAGGTAATTGTTCAGCTCAGTGACATTTGAGACCCGTATTCTTTTCATCTTACTGCTCTGCCAACCTCAATTTATAGACATTATCCTCTAGTCCCCTATGGTTTCAAGTTGGTTATAACAACTCTAAGGCAACCCTAACTCACGAGTCCGTGTGTGACTTTTCTCAATCTTGCAGCAGACTTTCTGTTATACCTTACTGTCCAGAACTGGGTCACATGCCCGTCCCTAAACCAGTTAAAGCAAAGGGACATGTGTGCCATGATTTGCTTAAACCGACAGAAATCATGGCTGGGATCACACAGGAAGGAGTGGTAAAAGGTTAGTGCTGTTTGAAGAGTGGGAGAATGCCAGTGAGATAGACACAACAAAATTTGACATATAGGGATTCCTAGAGCCAAATTACGAACTTTTAATGTAGGATCTTTAAATTCAGTACCCCTGTTGAATTTATTTTCCATAGAAGCCTGATCAGGGGAGCTCCTTCCTTGGGACTAGGGTAAATACAGTCTGTAGACACCAGCCACACAGCAGAGTAGAGTAAAGAGGAAAGATTAGTCAGAAGCTAGCAGAGCCCCAGAAAACAGGGGCAAAGATATAAGTCCCCTAAATAACAAGAAGTTTGAATAAGGATGTGACAGATCTCGTGTATGTACGCGAAGTCCAAAGGAGATCCAATCTGCAGAGAACAGGATAGCAGGATGCTAAAAAATTCAAGGTAGATGCAGTGAGCACTCAGCTCTTCCAGTCCAGTACTTAGAAGACAAGGTAGCAAGTGGCTGCAGCTACAGTGTAAGCTGTTGAGATGCCAACCCTCTTGCTAGCCCTTCTGGTTCTTAGGTGCAGTGTGGGTACAGGTTAGTAGACGGTACAGTTGGATGGATGCCCATTTTGAAAGGAATAAAGAAGCTCATGGAGGCTGGGGATTTAGCTCAAGTGGTAGCGCTCTCACCTAGCACGCATGAGGCACTGGGTTCGATTTTCAGCACCACATAAAAATAAAATAAAGATATTGTATCCACCTAAAACTAATAAATAAATATTGAAAAAAAAAAGAAAAGGAAAAAAAAGAGGCTCATGTAGGGGGGCTGGGATTGCGGCTCAGAGGTAGAGTGCTCACCTAGCATGTGCGAGGCCCTGGGTTATATCCTCAGCAGCACATTAAAAAAAAATAAAGATATGTATCTACCTATGAGTAAAAAGTAAATATTTTAAAAAAAGAAGCAGCAGCAGCTCAGGTAGGGCCAGGATTGACATAAATGGAACATTAGTTTGTAGTTTTGTTAGTATAATGAGTATGCTCTTTACTTACATGATGAGTCAATATAGGAAACAACAATATTTTAAATGTCTGTTGTCTACTGTTCTCCTTTTCCCCAGGTCATCATGCAACTTGTTCCTTCAGGCCTCCTGTGCTGAGAACTTTTCTCAGAGCCCTCACCTCCAGCTCTCAGTAACCGCCCCCTTCCATATTTTACTTCACAGCCATGATTTCTTGTCTTTTTCCTCCACTGAAAGTAGGCTTCATGAAGATAGGAGCTCCATTTGTTTATTCATGCTATCTTATCTCAAGTACCAAGAATATGGGTAAAATATTCATTCCTCCAACTAAGATTTGCTGGATGAATGAATGAGATACCTCTTGGTATTCTTCCTAAATTCTTTCTCTTCTAGTGAATTGATGTTCCTTCTTTTATTGGATAATGAGACCTGTGTTTTCTGTTGCCTTTTGGTCTTAGCTACTAGGAATTACTAAATAAGTTTTATGTTCATTTGCAATAACCATCCTTTGCTTACAATGTCTGTACTCCTCTCACCCATCGTAGAACTTTTAAAATATTTATTTTAATGATGCATGGTTTCAATATTACTTATTGTGAGTTGCCTCAAATCATTTGTGGAAAAAAATGAAGAGTGTATAATTGTAACCGAACTGACTGATTGAAGGGTAACAGAAGAAGAAGTCAAAAAAGGAACACTACATTTTGGGAGCTGGGTGAATAAGATAATACTGTCTCTGTTATTAATAAAATAGAAACCAGATCAAACATCACTAATAAAGGTATCTCTGTGTCACCATTTTGGTATATTTCCCTCTTTTTTTTTTTTTTTTTTTGCTTCATCAATTTTGGGGTGTTTTGTTTGTTTGTTTGCTTTTTGGTTTTGTCTTTTTAATTAGCTTTAAGAGACATGTGTCTGTCTTGCTTATAACTGGTTTCCTGGAGCACAGGACACTATCTGGCACATTGTACAACTTAATAAATATTTGATAAATTAATAAATTAGGCTGGTGATGTAGCTCAGTTGAAGAGAACTTGCCTAGCATGCACAAGGCCCTGGGTTCTGTCCATAGCACCACCACCCCAAAATAATAATAATAATAAATTAATTTAGGCTCATGTGTTGGCACATACTGTAATTTCAGCAACTTGAGTAACTGAGGAAGGAGAATCACAAGCTTGAGGCTAGCCTTAGCAACTTGGCAAGGCCATAGGCAAGTGAGACTTTGTCTCAAGAAAGAAAGGAATGAAGGAAGGGAGGAAGAAAAGGAAAGGAAAGAAAGGAAGAAAGAAAAGGACTAGGTATGAAGCTCAGTGGTAAAACTGCTCTGAGTTCAATTCCCAGTACTCAAAAATAAAATAAAATAAATTTAGTATGTCCCTTTTTTGCCATTTATTTTTAAGTCCCTATATTATTAAACATTAACTTGTTTCTCGTGTGTCCTTATCCCTTTCAACCTGTAATTTCCCTTCTTTATGGATTTCCAAAGTTTTTTCATTTTTCTGTGCCTTCCTTCCCAACAAGGAACCTTCTTTTAACCACATCAAACCCTTGCCCCAGGGCTCATGAATATGTGCCTTTTCTTCTTTCCTGGGTTTCCTAGATCTTATTTCCCCTGATGACTAAATGATTCCTCACCCTTGGATCACACTTAAAAATTGAAGGGACCAGAGAGATCTTCTTTCTAAATAACTAATCTTCACTTGGTCCAGAGAGGTAAAGTGATTTGGCTGAGGTCACACTGCTTGTTGGCAACAGTCCAAAACAAAAACACACACCTCTTAACTCTGGATCCACATTTCACACCACAGAATAAGCAAGCCCCTTCCTAGCATCAGAAATGGAAAGTACTATGAACAAAGTAGAATATGATTTTCCTTATAGTTGAAAATATGGGATATATGATAGGAGTTAGGTATTAGATAGCGTAAATTTGATCCCAGCTCTTTTTTACTCTTGGATAAATTCTTTAGGCCCTCTTAGTGTATATTCTTTCTTTTTTTTTTCCCTATGCATTTGTATATTTAATATAGATATTTAAATCTGTAAGTTTGGTTTGTTAATAGTAAGAGAAGTTGTGTGTATTCCTCATACATAAATGGAATATGCTGGGTCTATTGATTTCTTTCACTTAATGTCGTGAGGAGACCTTTCCATGACAGTGCATATACTTCTGTATTGTCTGCCCCACCCCACACTTTTTATTTGCATTGCTGAGAATGGAACCATTCCCTGTGCATGATCATCTCTGCTGTTCCAGACACCATCCCCTCTCCAGCAGCTTATTGCACTATCTATCTTCCTAACTTGGCCCCTTGCTGCATCCTAGGCACACACAGGCCCCATGGCATGTTGTCAACACTGCAGCCAGAGTGATCTCACACTTCTCTGTTTAAAATCCTCCAAAGACCTCTTGTTTTACTTAGAGAAAAAGTCAAAGTCCTTATAGTGGCCTACAAGGCCCTTCAAGATCCACACCATACCCCAATCCTACACCACTCCTCTTGCCTCATTTTGTGCCTTCTCTGTCCCTCAGATATGCCGGCTTGCTCCTATTTGCCCCTGTTCCTGTATGCTCCTCCCTCATATCCACAGAGCTGACACCTCACTTCCTGGACTGCCTAAGTATCCATTTAGTGAAGCCTCCCCTTAAAATTGAAGACTTTCTACATCTCCATTATTCCCTATTTCCCTACCTGCTTTATTTTTCTCCCCATAGCATTTATGACTCTGTAATATACTATATAATTTAAACTGGAATGTAGGTTCCACAAGGACAGGAAACATTGCCTCCTGCATCCTGGCATATGTGAAGTATCTGAAACAGAACCTAGCACTCACTAGGCGTCTCAATAAATATTTGTCAAGTGAGTGAATGAATTTTACTTCTCCTGGAAGTGCCTGTCTTTCACCTCATTTTGCTTATCTGAACAGTGATAGTATAGGAAATATACTGGGCTGATGACTGGGGTCTAAACTGGAGACCACATTTGCTGTTTGTGTGACAATGAGTAAATGGTAGCTGTGTAGGGTTTGTGAAGGTTTATTAAGCTATGTATTTATGATACATACATTTTCTTTTATATATATGTGAATTTTAAAATGTTCCCCGTATCCTGACTCTCTGAAAAAAAAAAAAAAAACAAAACCTCATGGGGAATATCTTCTTTACATTTTTTGTCTCTACATGTAGATTTTTTTAAAGGTAAAATTAGGATCCTGCTTGCTTGTTCACAAAACCATAACATGAATTATTTTTCTAGAGCATGATTTTTTTTTCTAGAGCATGATTTTTAATGGTTGCCCAAATCCTTTGAAAAGTATAAGCATCTTTTGGTATATTATGTTAATATCACTATTCTTAGAATAAGGAGTTGAAAATTTATTTCAAAAGATTTTGATTTCTTCCTTTTCTCTACAGGGGACATGGTTTCAAAGTACAGAGAACCTTTGATCCACACCTTCCTGAGAGGAGTGAAAGATCCAGATGGTATGCACAGGGCCAGCAGCTTAGCCAACCTGGGAGAACTGTGCCAACATCTGGACTTCCTGCTGGGTCCTGTGATCCATGAGGTGCTTCTAATACTTCTTTTAGATTGGGAGTCAGTAGACTTGTGTTCTTTTTCCAGATCTACTTCCCTGTAAGATAGAACGAGTAAGTCTATTAACTTCCCTAGTCTCTATTCATCCTATTATATATATTAAAAGCTGTATTGGTTGACCACCTCTAATTCCAAACCCAGACACTTCGAACAAAATCTGGAACTTTTGGAGCATCAACATGATGCCACAATTAGAAAATTCCCTACACCATAAAGTTTTGTTCTATGCAAAAAATTATTTAGAATATTGTATAGAATTACCTTTTGGCTATGTGGATAAAATTCATGAAACATAAATGAGTTTTGTGTTTAGACACAGGTCCAATTTCCAAGATAACTCATTATGTATATGCAAACATTCCAAAATCCAAAAGAAATATCTGATATCCAAAACAGTTTGGTCCTAACCATTTCAAAGGATATTCCAACCCTTTAGTAAGAATCTCTTAGTTACAAATAACAGGAAGTCAACTTACCTTAAGCAATGAAAGATGATTCACTAGAAATTTATTAGATGATTTATTCTGGTAACTAACAGAATTGAAGAAACCTTGAGAAAGGCTTTAGACCTTTACCCTAGGTCTCTGGGCTATGTGTGAGTCTTATCTCTATTTGTTAAAAAAAAAAAACACCTCAGGCTAATGCTCTGGCCCTTTTTGGTCACAAGTGCCAAATGAGTCAGTTCAGACCTGATTTATACATTTTCTAAAACTAACAAACCTGAACAATATTCAAACATCATGATGTTATTTCTTTATTTTATTTTTATTTTTATTACTTTTTTTTTTCTATTTGTATCCTTAGAGTCTTCCTTTTCTATGTCTTAAGGGAAGTATAGCATATTGGTGGCATGTGATTTGGTGTCAGAAATTTGAAGAAATTTTTTGGTTTGATTGATAAGAAGATTGATTTGATCTAGAGCAGATTTTTAACATTCAAAAAGTATCATCTTAAACCAGGCATATTGGCCCATGCCTGTAATCTTGGGAAGCTGAGGCAGGAGGATGGCAAATTCAAAACCAGCCTCAGCAACTCAGCAAGACCCTATCTCTAAATAATATATTTTAAAAGGGCTTGGGATGGCTCAGCAGTAAAGCACTGCTAGGTTCAATCCCCAGTACCCAGCCTGCCAAAAAAAGAAAAAAAGTGTCATCTTTCTGGAAACCTACAGAATTATTGAAAGAAAAATAAATTGCCAGATTCTCTTGGGAATTGTAATAAATGAAGGCCCAACTCAACAATCTACTTACCTGTGTTCACTCTAAGACTCTGACCATGGTTTCTTGATCTGAAAAATGGGATTGAATTACTGATGGTATAGTACTGTTATAAGGATCTAGAGATGATATATATGCTTGACGTAATAATTTATTCAACAATTTTTACTGAGAGCCTACTTCATGCTAAGCAGTATTCTAATTACTTAAGATATCTCGCTCTTCAAAATAGACAGTGGTTCCTATCTTTGTAGAGCTTCCATTCCAGTGAGAAGAGACGGACATAAAGGAATATACATAATCAATCAATATAATATGTTAGATAAGAAGTAGAACAGGAGAAGATGATCAGGATTGTAGTGTTAGGTGCTGGGAAGGTGGTAGTTTTAAGAAGGTATCTAGCCTTTCTGGGAAGGTGACAGTTGAGTAAACACATTTTGATGAGCAGCAAGGAAATGAGAAAAAATAGAGTAACCAGTGTCCCTCAACATCTGAAATATGTTAGGCCTATTGTTGGGGGCTGGGACTACAACCCCATTCTTCTGGGGATGGGTAACCTGGTGGAAGACACAATGATCAGTGATTACAGTGACAGCTGATGGAGTGAGTGGTGGGACATATTTGAGTATTGACAGAGATTCCCTGGAGAAAGAGCTGAATCTGGAGAAAAAGTTAGGTAAGAAGGTGAGGGTGAGCATTTCAGCAGAGGGAGCAGCATGTGCAAAGGCATGGGGGTGAGGGTGGGGTGGGTGTTTAAGAGACCACGAGAAGATCCTGAAAGTTGAGTGGAGGAGTTGGGGTGAGGCTAGTTGTCAGCAAGAGCTAAGGCAAGAAAGGCAGGCAGGGGCCATGTCATGAAGAGCTTTGTTATTACATGGCTTCCTGGCTCACAGCAAGAATAAAGCATTGCTTATATAATCTTCCGAAGTGAAGTGCAAATAGGTAGAGGGCCATTTGCCTGCCATGAATGCTGACTCAAAGAGCACCATTCACAATCCTCAGACCTGTTTGTCTCAGTGTTCAACTCCAGGTGAGGACTGGAGCTGTGGAGGTATCTGCTGGGCACATCCAGTCCAGAATCTCTGCCTCACTACTAGATACCTGGACTGTTTCTGCTATATCATTGCCAGGAGTCTTCACAGTCATTAATAAACTGTAAGCACAACAAAGGCAGAACTATTCTTTATTCACCTTTTTGTACCCCCTAGTACATCACAGTGCTTGGCATGTTAGCTGATTGGCATCAAATGAAGAGGAAGGTAAAGCTGGTTGGGAAGACTAGTTCCTACAAGTTTAAAGAATACTCATAATAACAGGAGATGTAGCTCAGGAGTAGACACTTTTTCTAGCATGTATGAGGCCCTAGATTTAATCCTCAATACCTAAAAAAGATCAAAAGCAAAAAATAGGACATAATACTCTTCTGAGTGCCTTATATGTCAACTGATCCAATCCTCACAGAGGAAACTGAGTCACAGAGAAACTGAGTAAGTTGCCGCAGGTGGCATGGTTGGAGTTTGAATGTGAGCAGTTAGTTCTAGAACTCATACCTACTCCTCTGTATTGTTTCTCAGTAAGTATTTTCAGTTCCTTTGTGAGATTGCTTTTGTGTTTTGAAAGTGAAAAGCACTGCCATATGAGAAAAGTTGCAGACAGGAAGGGTCATGTAGCTCTACCTTAATAGAGCTTGCTTTTGGCAGTGAAACTTCAGAAGGCAGTATATTCCCTCTGATTTGAAAAACCAGGTGTTTCCATCCCATATAATTTCTGCCTCTTCTTTTTAAATGTTCCTTCTTATGTAGCATCCCACGCTTGCCTTGTCATCAGTGCCAAACCAGCTACCTTGGATGGACTGCAAGTTTGAACATGCTTGGAGGCGTGCCAGTTTTAGCATTGCAGCCATTACTCCTCCTATAGTCAGAAAGCTCTAGCCCATTCACATAGAAAAAGTGGGATTTTTGACATGGCTCTTTAGTAGTTCTTCATTCGTTTATTCATTCAACAAATATTTATTGAGCATGTGGTCTGTGCCAGTTGGGCATACAGCCAAGCCATGTGTGCATTGCTAAGGATCCAGCTGTGAACACAATAAAGTCCCTGTGCTCATGGCCTTAACATTTTGGAGAGGAAAGATATGGAATAAACAAGTAAGCAGTTCTATACCATTTCAGGGATGGTACATCTAATAAGATTAGGGGCACAAAGGGAGCTTGTTGTACATGACTCAGAGGGACAAGAAAAGTTTCACCAATGAGTGACATTTGAGCAAAGACCTAAGGAAGCAAGGGGGTAATCAGATATCTGGGGAGAGAGCATTCCAGATAAAAGCACAGAAGCCTTGAGACAGGGAACTTCGAGGCCAGCATACCTGGAGGGAAGAGAGCAAGAGAAAGAATCATAGGAGCTGGCAATAAAAAGGTAGTGGCCAGTGGGGCTGGGGCTCAGCAGTAGAGTGCTCTCCTAGCACATGCAGCTACCTTGAGGGTTTGATCCTCAGCACCACATAAAAAATAAATGAATAA